GATCGGGGTGTGAAGAAGCAGAAGTACAAAATTGGTTCTGTCAGTGAACAGTGAGGACCAAAAATTCTCTCGCCGGGCTACAATTGCAAATCCCTAATGGGGCAGCGACGCTGATCTTGCAACTGATCTTGGACTTCGCCTTGGCCTAGAAGTAAAAACGCCAACTTACCAGGAAGTCTGGCCAGCTCCCATAGCTCATGCGAATAAAAGGAACCCGGAAGAGAACGACTTTACATAACCCAAAGTGGCTCCACATCATCAGCCAGAATACGATGAGGTATTAAGGCTGATCGAGGTTCGCAAGAGCTTTCTACTTGTGATCCAATTAGCCCCGCCCAAGGTGCTCCTGAATTTATAGCTTCAGATACCCTAGGTGAATGTATCATCGGAACATGTACGCAAAAGAGGGGTTAGTAGCAAGCAAGCCATCAGGAACAGCTACTCCTCCCATTTGACTGCGTATGGGCTGCTTTCTTCTCAGCCCCTGAACCCCGACTCACACGACCACATTATGGATATCGAAACCGTAATTTTCTTGAAGCAGTCACCAATTTACTGCCACCATGCCCAAGGGAATTCTGACACTATGACTTCGCGCCGAACGGGCATCATTAACCCATGTCTGGAAGACCAACGTCAAGGATCCGGACCTAGTAGGCCAGTACGTGGAGATGAAGACTGGGCCGGTACTAGCCAAATATTGCGAGCCCCAATGCACATCAAGGATCTGGGAAACTTACTAAAATACAGAGCACCAGAGATCAAACCTTTGAAAGCCCGCGAGCCTGATTTCCCATGATTTACTTAGCCACCTGCACCCCCTGGCTATGTTCCCCCAGTTTCAGTATACAATGATTTCTTTTTGACAAAAGGGAAAAAACTTAATGATTGATACCTTGCCAGTCTGTTCAGGTTTTCTCGCATTGATGTTTATTATTAGTTGTGTGTACATGTTCGTTCCTACTAGCAGCGGGATTATATATGGTGTTTATTGATCTTGCAAAATTTATGGTAATGAAATAGTGGTGAACATGAGTTGCTCACATTTCAACAGCACGCAACACCACCCAATTTTGCAGCAACGTTTTGAAAACTAATGCCATCACATTTTAGAGTGGGTGCAATGCCTCCCCGTTGCATCTCAGCAACACATGTAGAGATATCTTGTTTAGTTCATCAACAGTGTTATTCTCCAGCTAAAAAGTTTCAATGCTGCACAACTCCCTTGTCCCCAAGATACTGTCTTTCAATGTTCGAGTATCTCGGGGCTTTGTTCAATATTACGAATGGATACCTTTTAGTTGGAGCCACCACAGTCTGTTAGAATGGTTCTTCCTGTGGCCGGATGCTATAGCCACACATCAAAATACTCGAGCGATTAAGGCGCCAATCCCGTTCCTTGTTTGAATAAGATCATAGTTAACAACGCGTGACAGGGTGATATATTCGGAATGAACTGGAACGACCAACTTTGGGATAGCGTATGGCGAAATGGTATTTCATTTTCTTAGAGATCTGATCAAACGACCGTGTGAACCGAAGATCTAATCTCTCGAATCAAAGGGGATAAGGAAGCTGGATATCATTTCTCCAATCTAGGGATTTGTGATAGGAAAACGAAGATTATTCAAATCCGAGAAAAGAATCCAAGGAATATAATTATGTGTATGTCTCAAAGTGTGTTTGGTATAACGGGGACAATATATCGGACACTGGTAGAATCCACCATGAGCCAGTATCAATTCTTAGTAAAAAACCTAGAATTACTTAGCCTCATAAAAAGAGACACAAACACAAAGCTGATGCTGTCCAGAGAGACTTACCTCAATGCGGGAATACATATTATGGCAACAAAGCACACAAGAATTCCAATTACTAAAGATGTTTAACGGTTAGCATGGTTTTCGACCGAAGAGTATTGTTCCATCTTCGCCAAAGCTCACGCAAACGCAGGAAATCTCACCGAAATAATCGAGCTCAAGCCGCTTTCGTTGCCAACAAAACAGTCCACGACGCCGTAACCGCCAGAAAGCGGTTTGTCCGCCACAGTTCGAACCCTCCACAACTACGCAACCCCTTGCCCCAGGTTTGCATTCCTGATGCCGCCGTCGTATCTCCATAATTTCTCGAATTTCGGAATTGCAAAACGTCTGATCTGTGCGAAACTCACAACTCGTAAATGGGATTCGAAGGTTGAGCCGGCAACGCTCAAGAATCCAATTGACTTTAAGGACGAGACCAGTTTGAACAAGAGAATAGAAGTATGTGTTTGTATGTTTCAGTGCTAAGGCGTCCGGGTATGATAAGAATGATGCGACATGTGCATGAAGTTCAGACGGCAGATCCATGAACGGTGATTTTGATAATGTTGCCATCTCGTAGAAGTGGTGAATTTATTATTATCCGGGAATAATATCGTGAGTGAATGATAATGGCGCAAAATGGAAGGTCCTCAATATCCAAATGTTAGATCTAGAACATAAATTGCGAATTCAGGAACCCGACCGCTTAAATATATCGTGCGCTGGCTGTGTATTTTGTTGCCTATTGAGGATTCAGCCACGTTAGGCAGCCCCAATCAGAACTGCGCACATTTGCGCTCAGAGAGGTGCGCAATTGTGGACAGTTTACAACCGAGTGGTGGCAGATGTCATCAAGCTCATCGCATTCACAGCATCGAAGGCCAGGTTGCCCTGAAAGAATACTCGAATCGATCAAGATTTTTTTAGCATTTGCAGATGAAGCATGGAGCTTAAATTTTAATGTATCATAGTATACTACTTATCTGCCCGTACTCATCCTGCATTTTTCCATCCCTAATGCACGGTAATCTTGGTGAAGTAGAAGGACAATACTAGGAGGGTTATATGGTGAGGACAGTTTCGCATTAACTATATAACTATATAGGGTACGGGCTCCAATAACAGCAGCGGATGTTATTGTGCATGACCTTGTGGTCAAGAGGTTAACCTTGCCTGCCAGTGCTTGGTTACTAGTAGTTACTCATTATAAAAAAATCCAGTTTGAAGCTTGGATAGAACCCTAATTTTGAGCTGAACAGGGTTCAAATTGACAAAACTTGAGCTCTGTTAAGAAATTTTGAGCCACTGTTCAATTGTTAACCGTATTGTTGCTTTTATCTGGCAATCGAACTAGTGGAAACAAGGAAATGCGTGGGTCACGTGGGAGGGACCTCAAGAGATATCCATCCTGATAATTTTCACCTGCGGGAATCACCACACCCCTAAAAGGCCCTGTTGAAATCTGAAACACCCTCAGAGCCATATTTTCTACTGAGAGACGAAGAGAAAATAATTCCAGAGACACCCATAATTCCATCTCCTCCTCGCCACATCTCCATCTCGCTCACAATGCCAGACCCTCCAAGGAAGGAATCCGCATACGGAACCCCTTCATCAGACACTTCCTTCCGCAAAACGTGGGATCGCGAAGAATATACCAAGAAGGCCGCTGCCGAAGAAGCCAGGAAGAAAGAAGAGTCCAAAGCTCGCTACGATGCCAAACTAGCAGGGAAGAAATATCATGCGCCCGTCGACTTCAGCGCTCTCGAAGCAACAAGGTCCCGATCCGACCGACTAAATGTCGCGTCAATGGTAGGCAAGACCACTATTATTCCCGCAGGGTCCGCTATAGGCAAAAGAGGGCGCGGAGCAGGGTTCTACTGTCCGGAATGCAACCTGACCTACAAGGATAATATACAATTTGTTGAGCATTTGAATAGCAAGCAGCATCTCATTGCGACGGGCCAGAGTGGGGAGGTTGTGGTAGCTACTCTGGAGGACGTGCGGAATAGGCTGAGGTGGCTGTCCCATAAAAAGAGGATGCAAGAGGAGGAGGACCGGAAAGCGGGCCAATTAGACCTTGGGGAGAGGCTGAGGACGAGAGAGGAGGAGGAGGCCAGGGAAAGGGAGGAGCGGAGGAGGAAACGGAATGAAAAGCGGAGGAAGGGGGGAGTTAAACAGGAGAATAGTTGGGAGGGTAGACTTGGAATTATTTCGTAAAGTGGAGTGAGGGTAGTACCTTTCTCATTTTTTGGGACTAGGATTTCTCAATCGTGTTTATTATATACCCCGGCGTTGTGGTTGCTTAACTTGTTATGCCCTATATACATGGACGTATACCCAGCGGGTAAAGGATGAAAATAGGGGAACATTTTGAACTCCATGACGCTTTGCTTGGAAATGAACTGAACGAAAAAAAGAGCAAAAGGAATATTGGCTCAGTGTTTCTGCCCAAGAATCTGCGCCGAAAAACGCCGCATTGATGACATTGAATTCATTCGGTGCATTCGATCCCTTCAAGAGCTATCATAGCTTTTCCCCCTTCTCGCTCAAAAATTCCAACCAATCTTTCGCATTCATTTCGCAGCTTAGCTTCTCCATTTTTTGCATTCCACACGATCCATTCTTCCACGGTCATCTGTTTCTCTGGGCTTGTTAGGTCCCCTTTAACGGCGTGAAGAATATCATTGATATTCACATTCTCTTTACTGATCGAATCCGGGAGGAAAATTTCCTCTGGGTCAACGGGACTCCAAGGATGGGAGGTAATTAGCTGACCAGACTGTGCATATATTTTTGACGGTGAAGTGATAGGTGTGCTTGTCGCAAGTGGCACAACAAAAGCTGCCTGTGGTTTGGAAACACATGACGAGGTGGGTCGGGTATTTGGTCGGCTTGAGGGTGGCCTGTTCTCTGCATCGGACGATTGCGGGGATGGAGACGGCGTGGAATCATTCACCCGTGCATTTGGCGAAATTGGGTTATGAGAGACTTGAACTATCCGGTCCGATGCGCGCTCAAACATTCCTGGGTTATTCAGTCGTTGTTGGGTACCACTCCGCTTTAATGATGTATCAGTATTTCCGGATGCTTTAAACGCGACCTTCCGTGGTACATTGGTTGACGTTTGAATTTCTGGACCTACTTGCGGTTCCTTGCCGCTAGGGCTTGTACCCGATATTTTAAGCGCCTTATTGTGAATTTCATTTATCGTTTTGTTTTGGACGGGAGGTTCGTGGAGGTAAGATGGGATAGGAGTAGTCTCTTCAGAAACTGGAATCTCATCTTGCAGTTGCTGATTTTGCTTCTTCGAATTCCCGGTGGAGCCCTTAGGTCGCCCAGGTCTTTTAGGGATAGGTTTCGGTTGGTGATTTTTAAAGCTCTCATCCTCCTGATTCTTGGGGATAAGTGCGTCTTCCATCTCCACATTGTCTCCTGTCTTCTGCTCGAGGCCATCCCATGTAGCATCAGCTATAGGTTTATGTTTAATCTTAGCTTCGTGAATATCTGGGTTGGCAGGTTCTTGTTGAACTTGGGCACGGGAGTTTTTCCGAGCTGCGGGCTTCTTCTTGCCCAAGTTCTTTTTACGTTGGATTTTTTGGGTCTTAGTATCCGGCTCTTCTTCAAAATCACTGGTATGAATAATCGAAGATGCCGCTGGCTGAACCGATGCAACAGGTGCTGTTGAATGATTCTGTTTGCTCGCGGAGTGTCCGTCTGTTTGCTTAGGTTTAGATACTGCTCTTTCATCAGCTTCAATGCCCGCGACGAGATCCGCCTCTAGTTGGGCGTCAATCTCGTCATCGTCGGGAATCCTAGATCTTAAACCTTTAGGAGCTGTAGGTGGTTTCCTTGTTGTTGAGGAAGCTCGCTTTGATTTTCGTGGTTTTCGCGAGGCTTGTTTTTCTCTATGCATGGACTCCTCATCGGCAACTGGCAATTCCACTGTTTTGATGCCCGAGTTCACAGCATGGTTCGCCACAATATTCTCTGACCTCGTGGCTCGTCTTTTAGAAGGTGGCTCTGATCCAATCGTATCATCCTTTTCATTTGGTCCTTCTTCAACTTCATTCATTGCATCACTATTTCTCTTCTTTCCCCTCGCTGCTCTTTTCGGTCTGGACGTTTCCGGAGCTTCATCATTACTATCTTCCATATCTGCCTGCAGATTTGGTTCAACAAAATCTTCTTTTTTGGTCTTTGTTTTCTTCCCTTTCAATTTGGTTGTCTTTCTCGTCATTTTTGAAGTTTTGTTTGCTGAATGAGAGATGTTACTGTTATCCATTTCGTCATCATAATCAACCTCAGGTGCCTCAGATACGGTTGTAGCGACTGATTGAGTCGACAGGCGTGATGCCTTCGATGATCGTGTCTTCTTCGCACGAGTGGCTTTCACTGGTTTATTCAGTGCAAAATGAAAAAATGAACAGTCTGAAGATCTACGATAGTGCTCATCACTGCTTCACTGTTAGTAACTCAAGATGTGTGCAGCTAGATCGCAATTTGCTCACAAAGGATCATCTTTTGGCTCCCAGCCATCCAGTGATAACTTGCAGTAAGCGCAGCTTACGAAATCATCACTCTCTTCATGGGCGCAAA